TATGCCTGCATGACACCGTGTTCCTGTCAAGCATCTCGTCTGCTTCTCTCTTCGACGCTTGCATGATTCTACCTCTTTTATTTATAGAGTTCGATTCATAATTGGACACAAAAACAATGTTTTCGATGGAAGAAAACATCGTTTTTTCTGTAGATTCGTTTAATGTGCAAGCATATGATTGAATTTACTATACGAATTTGACGGGCGGAAATAATGAAACGACATCGTACTGTATACGGACAGGGAAAAGTTTATCATTGAATCGATCTTTTGCAGTAGAAGAATGTGGAAAGTCGGAAAAGATGTGGGATTTCGAAACAGTGAGAGACATGAATGTATCACAGAATGAAGTTTTAACATGGAAACTCTAGCCAAAATAATAGAGTCTATAGTAGAACTTTCAACATGCGCAACAAGTAACCAATAATGAAAACCAAACACGGGAAATGTAATAATAAAAGAAAAAACTAAAAACCTTAATAATCAAATATCTAAACTTATCCAATTTATAATAAAAAATGAATTATCAACTATAATTAATATAAATAAACTAGGACTAGAAAACAAGAAAGAATAAAGTAATATTATATACCCAACTATTAAACGTTCCAAACTATATCCTAATAACAAAATAAAAAATATAATCAAAGTAAACAAAAGTTCAAACATAAAGTAAAAAATGAATATCCTGTTCACCATTCATATACCAATTAAATTAATAAAAAGAATTAATACACTAGACTAATTATTTATATAATCATATACAATAATGTTATGTCAGTGGTCACTGACATTCCTTCCTCTTCCTCTTTTCCATTTCTCATTATCACAAAGAATGTTGACTCAGAACTTCTTGAGTCAACATCTTTCTTCATCTATATAGAGTGTCTGTTTGTGCACACCGAGGCAGTTTTTTGATTTTGACGTTTTGTGTGATTTTATTCTTTCGAATAAAATCTGTGGAGGCTAGCAAATGGTGCACTAGCCGGCGTGCATTTATTTATTGTGACATTAAAAATGGAGCACGTCGATGCTATCTTACTGCAGATAATATTGAAAGATTTAACAAAATTTAGTGGCAGTCAACAGCAACATGTCAATGATTGGCTATTAACAATTAATCAAAAATTCGATGCATGTGAATTGACTGAGCCACAACGTCGTAAATGGGCTGTGGCATTTCTTTCTGATGAAGCCTTGAAGTGGTATACTCGTCAATTGATTAAATTTGAAACATGGAATGATTTACAAAATGCATTGCGAGATAATTTTCCATCAGCGCCCGAACCATCACAATCTCTTAGACATCAGCAAATTCTGTTAAGAAAACAAGGTGACACAGAAGAATTTACCCAATATTATGCAGATATGACTAAGTTATGTACATACTACAATCCAGTAATGTCCAATGAAGAACGTCTCGATCGATTAAAGTTGGGCATGAACAACTCATTATTGAATAGATGTTCTGGAAGTATATTTACTTCCCCACAAGAACTACTTGCATATATTCAACGTTTCGAACTCGATCAGCAATTTATTAAAATACTCTCGTCTTCATCTGGTAGCAAAGATGGCAACATTCGTAAATTATCGCCAACATCAAATTCTCCTCAGCAGTACCCTACATTTACACGAATCAATTCCATATTATCACCAACTCCTTTTCAACAAGGAAATCGTCGTACTACGAAAATCTTACGCTGTTATCATTGCGGCAATAGCGATCATTTCATCATACATTGTCCGAAACGACCACGAAAATGTTGCGGAACTAATCCGTCGCTCGTATATATCAACGTTTACGTAAATAATCGACAAACATGTGCACTCATCGACTCAGGTGCCGCACACTCTTTTATAAATCAATCGGCACTTAGTAAAATTCGTCATTCACCGTTACTTCCATCAAAAACGGTCGCGCATTTAGCCGATAGTTCTACGCCTTTACATATAATAGGTGAGGTTAATTTGCATATTCGTGCACTTAAAACCGACACTCCCATCACTGCATTAGTAGTCAAACATTTAAACTCTGATTTTATCCTTGGATCTAACTGGTTCGTTGAAACAGGCGCTAGAATTGAATACGATCGTCATCAAGTTTCTATTCGTTCGTATAACGGTCGATCATGTATCCCTTTCGACAAACACATTGATACTCTTGCGTTAGATTTAAAATTACTTAGCTCGATTACGATTCCTCCACGCGAAGCAAGTGTCATTCAGGCAAAAACAGATGTTTCTTCTGCAAATTTAGTATATTTTCATCCAGACACAGACTTTCTACAATGTAAATCAGTTTCAATGGTTCCTGCAATGGTAAAAGTTACAGATTATACAACGTTCATCAAAATTTACAACAACAGTGATCGAACACGAACATTATACAAAAACGCAGTAATAGGACAAATAACTCATACGCCTGGCGACGTAGAAAGTTTTTCGATACCATCACCAGTTTCGCCATCACCGCAAGATAGTTCAACTTTAAATTCTATTCGAACTACTACCACATCCAGATCAACATCAGACACTATTGCAAAACTAGTTGCACACATTTGTGATCCGCTAGAAAGAAACAACTTACAGACAATATTATCCTCACATGCAAAAATCTTCGACTCATCCAAAATCACCCAAGCTCACACTTCACTACAACATACCATTAATACCGGAGATGCTCTACCTATTAGTTCACGTCCATATCCCAAAACGGTAGATCAACGCCGAGAATTACAAAAAGTAATACAAGACATGATGACTAATAATCAAATTCATCCATCAAATTCTCCCTGGTCATCACCTGTAATACTGCATAAGAAACCAAATGGTGGAATACGTTTCTTAGTCGATTATCGAAAATTGAATTCCGTTACAAAGAAAGATTCCTTTCCACAACCAACAACTGAGGAATTAGTACAACGATTAGGCGGACATACATATTTTACTAAGCTGGACTTGAAATCTGGCTACTTTCAAATCCCGATAGATGAACAAGACAAGGAGAAAACGGCTTTTATCACTCAAGATGGTCTATGGGAATTTAATGTATTACCTCAAGGTGTTATGAATGGTCCACCAACGTTTCAACGAATCATGCACAATTTAATTGGAAATGGGCGCTGGGATTATGTAGTTGTATATCTTGATGATATTTTGATTTTTTCCAAAACTTTTGAGGATCACAAACGACACCTAAATGAAGTTTTGTCTATATTAAACCAAGCCAATTTTCAAGTTAATCCGGAGAAATGTACAATTACAGTTCGCGAAATGGAATTTTTAAGTCATGTTATTAACAAAGATCAAATTAAACCATCACCAGAAAAAATTCGAGCTATTATTGAATTATCACCACAACTTTAAAATCACCCAAAACTTTAAATGAAGCTAATGAATTTATTGGAAAACTGAATTGGTACCGCAAGTTTATTCCACATTTTGCAGAGATTGCCGCTCCTATTCATAAAGTAACCAATAAAACGAAGAAAACGAAACATGAATTTTACTGGCATAAAGAACAACAAGATGCATTCGACCGATTCAAACGCCTATTGACTACAGAACCATTATTTTTGCAATACCCGGATCCAACAGCACCCTTCATCCTATCAACGGACGCATCAATTATTGGCATCAGCGGCATATTACGTCAAACTACTCAACATGGCACTCGAATATGTTATTATGAATCGCGTACATTGTCCGACACCGAAAAACGTTATGATCCAATGGAACGCGAGACATTAGCTATGTATTGGAGTATACAGCAACTACGAGAATATATTGGCGACTCTTATTTTTCGATAGAAACGGACAGTCAACCATTGATCAACTTCCATAAAAAACAAATTGATAATAAACGTGTTATGCATTGGCTGTTTAAACTGCAAGATATTATTCCACAAATTACTGAAGTCAAACACTTGCCTCGTGATAAGAACACCGGTCCCGATTACCTTTCGAAACACCCGATCTCCTCGACATCGAAAAAGCCCATGAATGATAACGATTGGCCTCAAGGGACTGAAATATGGGAAATTAAACCACAACGTCCGCCATCTACGTTCTTCACACAACTAAATGCCGTCATTACGCGTCAACAAGCTAAACGATTAATACCAGCTCCGCCTCTGACAACCTCCACGGCAACTCATGCATCTCTTTCATCGGCGCCAGCCACAACTACAAGTCCCTCTCCACAATTGTTCGACTTCAGCCTGGATCGTATTAGAAAAGAGCAAATGGAAGACACCGATATTATAGAAATATTTAACATGGTCAAACAAAATCCGTCAAAATCTTCCTTTACAATTAAGGATGTTGTCCTGTTTAAACTATTACCTCGAGGGAAAACAAAAAACAAAACTACGTGTACCTTATATTCCACAAACACTAATTAAAGATATACTATTCACCCATCATGATCATCCATTAGCTGAACATTTTGGCTGGACATTTTGGCTGTGATTTTATTCTTTCGAATAAAATCTGTGGAGGCTAGCAAATAAAAATAAATAAAACTAAAACAAGAAAAACTAAACATCAAGATCCCAACTCCAATTTAAATATAGCCGAATACTCTTCATAAAAGTTAAAGACACATAAACCACTAACAAAGCTAAAACAAAAGAATAATTAAAATAAAATAAACTCATTAACAATATAAAAATTATAATAATATAAACGAACTTTTCTTAACCAAATCAAAATTAAAAATAATATAAACTACAAACAATAAAAGCCAACAACAGACTCATCCACTAAAAAAACTAATCTTAAACAAAAATATCATTTATTATTAATCAAATAATAAAAACGTCTAATAAATAAATTCTATTAAAATCAATTTTAGTTAAAGATCAAGAGTTGTTGTAAATTACAACTAATAGAATAATTTAAAAATAGAACGATTTCATAAGCAACCAATTGAGAAGAACTACGCAATCTCCCTAAAACCTTATAAGAACTAATTCTTACCCAACCCATAGAAAAAATTACATAAACTATAAGAGAACCGATAATAAGCATAAATAAAATTCTATTATTATGAATATTAGAAATAGGGAAAGTTTAAAGTTTTAGTCGTATAATTGGGCCTTTCACCGGTAGTTAACCAAAACAAAAAAAATTCTCGGAAAATGCTTTTGTCTATTGAACTTTGTAGAGCTTTCTGCACCGATCATTTTGGTAAAAAAATTTTACAAATTTGATCGATAAATAACGGTGCTAGGGTCAAAATACCGAAAACTTCAGACTGTTCCGACCAATACTGTTAATATATATTTTGGGTATTTTGACCTTAGTACTGTTATTTATTGGCCAAACTGAAAAAGATTGTTTAGCAAAATGATCAGCAAAGAGAACTCTACAAAACCCGATAAACAAAAACATTTCTGACAACTTTATGTTTTTGTGAATGACCACCCGCCCATATGAGTGTCGAACCGCATGAAACTTTTTCGTATTTCTATAGTTCATTCTTCTCTTATGAATGACCAGTCATACTCCTAAATTCCGTTTTTGACGGGCTTTCATTTGGTATAAAATTCATTTGATATCTCTTGAAATATGAGCTGGAATAATATTATTTCCTATCCTGTAAGATCTGTGAACAGAGCATTATTTTGTACGAATATCGCTTTTGGTTCCTTCAAGGATTTCCTTTTAATAAACCCAACCATAAGTCAGAAAAAAAATTTAAATATACATCTGGAAAGAGCATGAAATGCTGATTCTAGCAGAGTACTTTTGATTCTCTCGAATCAGTTATAAATGATCAAAAATTGATTAAACATTAGTGCAAAGATTTTTGAAACAAGTGTAAAAAAATCATCCTAAAACAGGTTCATAATATTCTCACATGTATAACTCTCTTATTTGTTGAGCTGTCACCCTCATTTTTGCACCATAAGAACAGTTTCAAATGAACGTTAAAAATGGCTATTTACTTGTTAAAAATACTTGAGTGATTGCAGAGATATATCGATTACAAAAGTTCTGTGAACTTTTTGTCCATATCTTAATTACATAAAACAATTAAGGTATTATAACGCAGTACATTGAAGTAGAAAGCTGAAACGCATTAAAAATACATTAGAATCGAACGTGTTATAAGGCGGTAGACAAATCTAATCGCGTTGTAACGCGATAAATAATTGAGACGCATTATAATGCTATAAATTTATAGAGTTGTAATGCAATGAAAATTTTTATCCACTTACAACGCCATAAATTCCTGAAAAATAGCTTTGCAACGCGTTACAACATAACGGGCTACATCTATTGCCTTGTAATAAGATAAATCTATAGCGCTGTAATACCATAATTTAAGAAAAAGCATGTTTTATAGCCTTATAACGCTATAAATCGAGAAAAAACGGTTGTGGACGCAACCGTAATCGTCTTTTTTGTATGATTATTTTAATTCATTCTTTTCTAAATATCAATATTTACAAATATATTATCATGAGTTTCAAATAACAAGAATCTGGGTCAAAGAATAATTAAAAAAAAGCAAATGTCTGTCAAGTAAAAATCCGGGGGGGAGGGGGCAAATTACCGTTTATCGATAAATTGCTAATAGAATAAACACTTTCTAGCTTTTTCCTTCGATACAAATTACTTTCATCGTCAAAAATTACGCTTTCTTCAAATTTCACCACACAATCGGTATTAGCACTGATATGTTGCACCAATTCAGAATTTTCTATATCAAATTTTTGAATTTTTGTTTTGTGTTGTTTAATTCTTTTATGTAATGATACAATTTCACCTGTGTATAAATCACCACATTCACATGCTAATCCATACACTGAAAATTCTTCAGGTTTTATACATTTTTCTTCACCAGCTATATTTTTATGATTCAGACTAATTATTTTGCCTTTATTAACCATATCACCTATACTAGGATTAAGTTTTATATAAATTCTGACACCAAATTTTTTGAGGGAATGTCTTAAGACTTTGCCACTGAAGGAAATTTAGCTAATAAATTGAAACATCTGGTTTATATTATAAATTATATTATAATATTATTCATTACGAATTGTAAGCAAACTTAATAAATTAAATAAAATTAAAGTTTCAAATGTATTTTCAAGAATGTATGCAAATAAGGTTATATTGTTTATGGTCGGTTCTAGTTAACCGATTAAAAATCCGGTGCGTGTCCAGAAGTAACCATGCGTTGTGAGGAAAAAAAGGTTAAGTAGAATGTCTTTTCGAAAACTGAGCTTAAACAGGTTTCCGAGAAGGAGTTTACAAACCAAATGCGAAAGGCTTTTGAAAAGGTGTTAGAACTCACGAAAACCTTTTTTAAAAATTTGCGAAAATGTTACTATATGAAACCCTTTTGGGTGCTCGAGAGTTCGAATACTCTTAATCCTTATGAAGAGTATTCGAGAACAAAATTGCACTGAATAAAAAAAGGTATGCAAACAGGAAAAGCGTTTTCGATGTTTCGAAATTCATATCCTAGCATTTTCCAAAACAATTTTTAAGTTTTCGAGAATACTCCTTTTCTTTACAGTGTACAATGCACGGCATAAGTGTAAATTACACACTAACGAGGGAACCTCTTGAGGTTATAAATCACTTTTGAACTCGGACTACTTGTATCTTGTAGACCTCAGTGAGTAGTGAAATACCCTAAGTTGGTTCATCCCCATGATGCTTTGTTGCTGAGATATTGAATTTTTAGTCAGTTTTTGCCTATAGAGCTTGAATTTCGAGCAAAATCCGACTTTCGAATTTTGACTTGAAACTTGCCACACTGGTAGCCCATGGTCATAGTAGTACGACGGGAAAATATTCGATCCTAATGAATTTTCCTGCCTTGAGATATTGAGACTCGAATATTTCACCTGAAGGTGAGCGGGAGGGTCAGACGTTCGAGTCTCAATA